GGTAGGCTCAGGGTGAAGGGTGGGCGCGACGGAAGGGTGCGTGTGGGGACCCAGGGTGCGAAGAGGTCGGGCTGGGCTATGGAGGGCCGAGGCCGCCACTGCGAAATCTTGCCCTTTTCATCCTGGCGAAGTGCTGTGACCTGAGCTGCCTGCACGGCACCCCGTCCAGCTGAGTGCTGGATCCGCGCCCCTCCCCTGCATCAGACGAAGGCGCGGACGCGCGCGCGCACCCACACCCACACACACACACACAAACACACAAACACAGTGCGCCCTCACCTTTGACGCCTGCACCTGCAGCCTCTCGCTGCACTCCAGCAGCCGCTGCATCCCGCCCTCCCGCACAATGTCGCCCACGTTGTCCTCGTTGTCGCTGAGGCCGTACAGCGCAAACGCCGCGTTGTGCTGCAGGTTGTACTGCGCCGACTCCAGCAGCTCCAGCAGCGGCCGCAGGCCGCCAGCCTGCACGATGCCCGCCTGCAACAGGCAGAGGGGGCGGGGGTGAGGAGCAGCAGTCGTCAATGTGGCAGCATATGCATGGTGCATGGTGGCGTGGGGAGCGTGCCAAGTCATGAGAAGCAACTGGGCGTGCGCTGCTGCTTGCATGGCGTCAGCGCACGCGTGTTCATACTCAGACGCATGTCATGAGTATCACGCATGAGTATCACGCATGCACACACCGCGTCAGCACACAAAACAGCAACTGTGCAAAAGCAAGAGCAAGCGCAACGCCGCGCTGTCACGCGTACACATGCTCCCCGTCGTGCGCGCGGCTTTTTCCCCGCCGCGCGCACACCTGGTTCTCCGAGTCCTGCGCGAGCCGGCCCAGCGCAAACGCCGCCATCTCCCGCAGCGCAGTGTCCGGCGCGGCCAGCATGCGGATCAGCGGCGGGATGGCGCCGCGCTGGGAGATGCGCGCCTTGAACGCTGTGTGGGGATTTGGTTGTGTGCGCAGGGGAAGAGCGAGAATGAGAGTGTGGCCAGAGTGCGCTGAGCAATTGGCGGGTGGCGGTGGGGTGCAAAGGGTGGGGATGACTAGCGGACGCCCCAATGGAGGGATATCGGCCAAGCATGCGCCAGCTCGGCACCTGCGCGGACGACGGGCTCTGCCGCGCACCGTTGTCGGTCGTCGCGAACTGGCCCAGCAGCAGCGCCGCCTCTCGCTGGCTCTCGGCGCACGGGCTGCTCAGCAGATTGATCACCGGCTGCAGTGCGCCCTCAGACAGCACTTGGCGCTTGATGTCCTGCGGCCAGAGCCACAGGAGAGCATTGCGGGAGTGGGGCGAACCTGTTGGCGCAGGGCTAAGGACACACAGTCCGCGCGCTCTGCACCCATGCGCGGCGCAGCGCGCCGCGTCGCCACTTGTTTAGGCCCCATGGCAGCCAGTGCTGCCGTTTGCACCTGGCCCGCGGCCAAGAATTGTCCCATTAAGCAGGCCGCCCGCTGGCAGGCGCCGCCCCTGTGGTGGTGTGCGGCCCACCTGGCTGCTGTGCACGAGGTTGCCGATCACGCCGACCGCCTCATAGTGCACGCCCACATCCTCGGACCGCAGCATCTGGGACGCAAATAGGCGCGGCACAGGGGGCGCAGGGCCGCAGCCATCAGAGCCGACGAGCACGGGCTTCTGAGGGAAAGCACGCGCCGCTTGGGCCGTGGAGGCCGGCACACCTTCGCCACTCTGTGGCGAGCAGCAAGCCTGTCCTTCCGCCCTGCTGCACGCGGCTGCTGCAGATGATTACAGCAGACCGTCCGCACATACCCTCTGTCCTTCTCACACACACGGAAACACACCTGTATGAGCAGCGGCAGCGCACCGCACTCTACAATCTGCCTCTTGTTGTCCTCGTTCTTGAAGGCCAGCGTGCGCAGGGCGCCCGCGCCAGCGCGCTGCACCTTGATGTCCCACGCCTCCAGCAGCGCCACCAGCGGGGGAATGCCCTGCTCCTTGCGCACCTGGTTCTGCGGGGCGGTGCCGAGGGGGGGGCAGGGAGGCGGTGCACGCAGGCAGGGCGGGGCAGGCATGAGCGCTTATTGCGCGCATCGCACGCCGCCGCACCCTGGGTCGCGGCGACAGAGGTGCATGGGTCGACGCTACAGCAGGGCGACGGCAAGCAGGCGCCCCACCACATCCGGCCTGCTGCCGTGCTACCCTACCAGCATCCTGCAACGCCCACGCGGCCCCAGCGCCCTTGACGCCAACCCTGCTGCCCATGGCCCTGGTGCGCCAACCCCATCAGCAGGACCGACACACACGCAACCCAGGAGCCTGCCTCCACAGCCGTATGACCCCACTGCACCTTGATGTCCACGTTTTCGTGCGCCAGGTTCGTGATCGCGTCCGCTGCGCGCCGCGCGACGCCGCCGCTGCCTGGCACTACGCGCGTCACCGCCGTCGGCTTGTGCGCGCGCAGCAGCTTCACGAGGCCGGGCAGGGCGCCTGCCTGGGAGATCTGGGCCTGATACTCTGGCTTGACTGCCAGGAGGCCCAGGATAAAGCAGGCCTCCTTCTTGATGTCATCAAACCTGAGGGTGGGGGTAGTTGGTTTAAATGCAACCCGACGCGCTGCTGGCATCCCGACGCGCTGCTGACATGGATGCGGAGCGCGCGGGTCGGAGGCGCGCGCGGCGGGAGCAACGATCCATGCGCCCCTAGCGCTCGCGCGACGGCGCCTGCCCGGGGCGTCGCGCTGTTGATTGGCGGCTGCCGCGCACCCTGTGGACGGCCCGTCCAGCGTGTCGCCCAGCATGAGCAGCGGGACGACGGCGGGCACCGCCCCCAGCTGCACTATCACCTCCACCAGATCATCTGCGGGCCGGGCGGCGATCCCATGTGCGTGAATGGGTGCTGAGGGCAGCACTGCAGTGGTGCGCACGCTGGGAGACGCACATGTATAAGCGCCCCAGAGGTGCGCAAACCCAGACGCACCGGCGCGACTGCAAGGTGCACCGGCGACAGCGGCAGCGGGCGCAGCAAACGGGGGCGATGAGGGTGCGCCGGCGCGGCATGACGCGGCGCGGCGGCGCGCGGAGGGGCGCGTGGGTCGCGGGCGCACCGGACTTGCAGTGGTCTGCTAATTGGTGCGCGAGCTTCCGCAGGGCCAGCTTGTCGACCTTTGCCACCGGGCCATACGCAAAGCTGCTGATGCCGCTGATCGTGGAATTAAGCTGCGCGGGGGCGCAGCACGCAGGTGCGCCAAAACAGCGGCGACGCGGGCACGAGAGCGCAGGTCAAGGGGCCAGGCGGGTGATGGCGGTGCGCGGAGCAGCGGCGCTCGGCCGCTTGGCTCGGAGGGGCCACCAGCCGCACGGTGCAGGGCCGGCCCTGATACCCCGTGTAAGATAGGGCAGTCGACATGCGAAAGGGGCCCCCACCTCGTCGTGGAGGGCGGTCTTGGCCTGAGCTCCCCGCGCGTAGCCTGAGTCCATGATGTCTACAGGTAGCTTTCGCTTCAGCGTACCTCTCTCTCCACCTTCACTCATGCTGCCTCATGCCGCTAAAGGCCCACGCATGGAGGGGCTCGGACCTGCAGTGGGCTGGCTAGATCGGGATGGGACGTTTGAAGCGCGCTTTGGCGAATGCAAAAAAATAATGTATCGATGGCGTACCAGCGCTGGAATACATGCTGGCTGCAAGCAAAGCTCTTTGAATGAACTGACGTCGGACGAGCTGCTGTTGTGCGTGAGCCGATGGGCAGGTGGGCGCCCCGGCGCCGCAGCGCACGCTGTTTACGTGCCTGAAAGCAGAAGTGGCCTTACAAGTACGTCAGGCTGCACAGAAGAACAGTCCTCACTAAAAGGGTGGCCCCAAGCCACAGACGCTCATCTCACGGGTGAGTACACCCCGCCAGCTCAGGTGCCCTGCGGACACACGCCACCACCGCGCAAATTTCTCTCCTCTTGCCCAAAACACCCAGGACATTTCATCCCGATATGATACAAAAGAGAAATCACTAAAAATCATTAAATGTGAAAGCAGAACTGTGCAATGCCAGTGCGTGCCCCTCCCTGGCGCAGTCGCAAGCCCGCCGTCACCGCGCAGCCTCAGGGGCCACGATCCTGCGAAACGTGAGCGACACGCGGGGCCCATCCACACCCGCCCGTTTCGGCAACGCATGCTGCCAGCGCCGCTGCAGCGCGCCGCGCATGACCAGCACGTCCCCGGGCGACAGGCGCACGCACAGCCGGCGGCGCGCGGCGCCGCCGCCCGCTGCAGCCTCGCGCAGGTGGAAGTCGCGCGTCGCCCCAAATGAGACAGACACAATCTGGTGGTCGCAATTCAGGAGGAAGGGGACAGCTAAAGGATCAGCAATCATGATGATCGAGCGATTGTTGGTCAAACATAGCCCTGGTGTCACAGTCATTTCCGCGCACCCCGGCGCCCAACGCATTCCTGTCCCAGGCCACGCAACCGCAGGGCCGCCTGAAGCGAGGGCGCCCCCCGCATCATCCCACAGGCACGCAGCCTGTGGGACCGCAGCACGCTGAGTCATTTGCAGCAGTTTCAGGCCCCTACAACGACTCATCGCACCTCTGGTTCACTGCCAAACACCTTATCATCGTCCCGGTGCCACCCAACATAGCGGGACCCGTCCTCATACAAATTCAAAAGGCACGAATTGAAGGCGCCGCCGCCACTGCTGCTCGCGCCCTCGCCGCCGCCGCCGCCGCCGCCGTTGTCGTCGCTGAACCCCGCGTCCGTGCCTTGGCTGCCTGCGCAATCTGAAGCGCTGGCACCGCTGCTGGGGTTGCCAGCGCCGGGCAGGCCGGCGGCCGCACTCTCTGATGCCACCAGGCGCTCAACTGCCTCCTTTATCTGCAGAAGCAAGAATTATGGGCAATATGACTATGCGCTGGTGAGCTGTGGGCAGGACACACTGCTTGACTAATGTTTTCACGTGCGCTTCTTGCACGGTGCGTGTGAGACAAGATCGATGTGCATGGTTGGATGTGGAGCTTTTGCGCGTGTACGAAACACCTGGCATCCAGCTTTGGATACAGTCAAGGCCTAGGTGGTGTGTCCCCACTCGTGGATTGAGGCGTGCGTGGCGCATGGCAGCTCCAGTCGCGGGGTTTCGTGTGCACCACTCTGCGACTCAAGGGCTGCGGCCCTCGCAGGGCGACACGCCGCCCTGCCACGTGCCATGCGCCTGCTCAGGGTGCAGCCAGCGTTAGTGTCTCCCAATCCCAAACCCAAAATCCACACCTGCGCCACGGCACCAGATCCCCAGGGCAGCGGCGACAGGGTGAGGCCCGAATATGTGTAGGTGAGCGTCGGGGAGTCTGCAAAGTAGCATATCTGCCGCGGCTGCTGCACGCGGCGCCCCATGACAACCACCTCCCGCTGCTGCAGTCCAAGAGGGATGGCGGTTGATGGTCAATAAAAGGTCGGGGCGGGAGCGCGGTCGCATTGGTCGAGGTGCATTGGCATGCAGGTGCGGGGCGGGGCCCTGAGAGGGCCGCTGCAAGGGGGCTTGGGAGGTAGCCTCGGCAAGCAAAGCGCACCTCCCATGGCAGCGCGAGCAGCGCAGGGAGAAGCTTCGCAAGCTGCTCCAGGGCGCGGGGGAAGTAGCCCAGGATCGAACCCTGGCATGGGCAGAGAGCACGCACAGCACAGGGGTGAGGCAGGAGACCGTAGCGTCGGGCGAGTCGCATCGGGGCATGCGTGAGGGTGACCTAGCCATAGGGCTGACGGTGCTTTAAGGGGACCAACCTGCGTCAAGTCGTAGAACCCCGCGCGCGTGATGGCATTTGGCACCACGGAGGGCGCAAGCAGCACAGGTGGCAGCGCAAGCTGCAAGGGCATGGGCGGGGCGGACGCGTCGCCAGGCCCAAAGCTCTTGCGCCGCTTGCTGCCGGTGCCCACGGACGCTTCTTCGTCACTGCTGTCGATTCTGCTACGACCACTCATGATTGGCTCCTGTCGCCGGATGGGTGCCTCCTGTCTGCAGAGATCTGCTGCTTAGATCTTTGCAGGGCTCCAATATCGGATTTTGATGAAACTTTCAGCTATATATGCATCGGCATCCTACACTTGGTCGCCTATGACAGTAGAAGTTGAGCAGGATGCCGACCTGTCACTCAGCGCTGTTGAATTGATACGGTCAAATCCAGTAGATACGATACGCATGATCATCATTTGAAACCTACTTCATGACCTCGAGGCACGATATTGGACGTGCCGTCGGCAAGTCAACACGGTCTGCGCTCCCACTGGGCATTCTCACCATGCGCCATTCAGCCATAGTGTGAAAAAAGCGTAGCGGACGCCCCTGACTGGCCTTAGTTTCCCAGCAAAACCAAGCGTCAGAGGTGTCTTCTGATGCCGTCGGTGGTGGTGGGCGCACGGCCCGGACCCCCGCGAGACGGGCGGGCGTGACGGGGGACACGCGCAACCAGCAGCTGCTGCACGTGCATGCTGGCGTGCCCACACGCGTGCAAGGTTTGAACAATGGCATCAGTGCGCCCACGCCGCAGCTCCCTGGCTGATCTGATAGAAGCGTCCGGCCTTGTCTCTGGTCTGAGCACGCGCCCGGGCTCCGCCGCTTCCGCGGCCGCGTCGGCGGCATGCGCCGCTGCGGGCGGCCTGTCGCCCGAACTGCAGCCCCTGCTGCACGCCCGTGAAGCCAGCAGCCTGCGTTCAGGGGATGATGAGGCGCAAACAGGCGCCAAACGCGGGGCCAACCCCCGCCAGCAACAGAGGGCGGCAGCGGCGGTGCGGCGGATCTCTTGCGGTTGCGGGACAGACCGTGGGCGTCCCTCGACGGCGCCACCCCAGTCGCGGCGGTGGAGTTCACTGGGGTTGGGGTCACCGGAGCCTGCTGCGGCTGTTCTGTACGGCGGAAGCGGCAGCAGCCTGTTTCATGTATCACTGTGCTCAGGAGGAGAAACCAGCAGCCGCGGGAATCGAGCCGGGTTTGGATCAACGCGTGGTGTGGCGGAGGAAGGCACACAGGCGCCTGCAGCTAGCGCGAGCGAAGAGCACCCGCAGCCTCAGGAGCCTCAGGAGCCTCAGGAGCCGCAGCAGGCGCAGCAGGCGCAGCAGCCGCAGCAACGGCTGCGTCCCCAGCAGCACCAGCAGCAGCAGCAGCAGCAGCAGCAGCCGCACCAGCAGCGCCAGCACCAACCTGTGAGAGAGGTTGGATGCAGCTGCTGCCGTCACGCGGACATACCTGCATCTGCTGGCAGCCGGCCAAAGGCCCGGCGGGTCTCATGCAGCAACCAGACTGCAGAACGAAAGGCGGCCGCACCTGCCAGCTGCACTGACAGCACGGCTGCTACTGAACGGGAGGCGGCGCTCCGCAAGCTGCAACGCGCGCTGCGCGCCGCCGAGGCCGCGCGCGGCGCGGCCGAGGCGGCGGCGCATAGGGCGCGCGGCGCGGCCAGGGTGCGAGAGCAGGAGCTGGAGTCTGCGCGCCAAGCGGCGCGGCTGCAGCAAGAGCAGGCAGAGGCGGTGCGCACAGCGCTCGCCAGTAAGTTGGAGCAGGCCGTCGCCGCACACGAGGCGGACACGGCCCGCACCGCGGAGGCACAGCGGCGGCAGGAGGCGGAGCTGCGGGCTAGGACTGAGGCGCATGAGCGGCGGGCGAGGGAAGCCGTGGAAGCTATGCGTGCTGGCCTGCAGCGGAGCAGCGGGGCGGGTTTGGGACTGCAGCAAGCGGCCGAGGTTGTAGCAGACAAGCAGCAGCAGCAGCAGCAGCAGCAGCAGCAGCAGCAGCAGCAGCAGCAGCAGCAGCAGCAGCAGCAGCAGCAGCAGCAGCAGCAACGGCCGCATACATACGACGCATTGTCACGACGGGCCTCGCCCGCCGAGCAGGACAGTCCGGAATCAGGGCCCAGCGCCGCGCAGGGGATCAGGGGCCCGTGCCCACGCTGGCCGCAGCACCCACGCACGGCGGGCAGCGACCGCGGCGGGCGAACGGCCGGCGGCGGGGTCGTGGCTGCGGCCGCCACGCTCAGGTTGGAAGAAGAACTGCGGCGGGCGCACCTGCGCCTCGCCGAAGCGCGGGAGGAGCATGCGCACCGCCTGGCGGCGCTGGAGGCGGCGGTCAGCGAGTCTGAGGTGCGCGTTTCTGGTGCGGCGCGCGGTGCAGCGAGGCTGGCGGAGGCGCTGGAGGCGCGAGTGGTGCGGCTGCTGCAGGCTCGGACGGAGGGTGTCGCGCAGCCGCTGCTGTCTGCGCGGAGGCGGCGGCCGGCGTCTGCAGCTTCTGGCGGCGGTAGCTGCAGCATGCAGAGTGGGTCGCCTCGGCAGCAGCAGCAGCAGCAGCAGCAGCAGCAGCAGCAGCAGCAGCAGCAGCTCCTGGGACTGGATATTTCCTCGGCACCTCAACAGCAGCCGTGCAGCCGGCCTTGGTCAGCAGCGCTCTCTGCCCCAGCCACCATCCTGGCATCTGCCGCCTCTGGCATGGGTGGCGCCCCAACGCGCACGCAGCGTGGCCGCGCGCGCCCGCAGTCCGCAGCAACGTCGGCTAGCCCCGGCGTCCCCAGCTGCAGGCCCGGGGCCGCCGCTGGCAGACTTGCTGCGTCGCAGGCGTTGAACGACCGCATGGCCTCAGAGAATGCCCGGCTTTGCTTAGAGCTCGCACGCTGGGAGAGCGGCGCGATGGAGGCGCGCATTGCCAGCACTCCAGGCTGCTGCAGCTGCAGCGCGGCTGCGGGGCCGTCGGCACAGGGCGCGCCTGCTCGGGACAAGTCAGGCGGCCTGGCATGCCATGAGCATGATGACGCTGGCAGCTTACAACCAGAAGCTTGCTCATCAGGCGCGCAGACGCTGCCCGTACAACCAGCAGGCACAGCCATGCCGGCTGATGGCTGGTTCGAAGCGGGGCAGGCGCAGGCACCTGTGGGATCCGCTGCGCGCGGCCGCAGGCCGCCAAACCCTGATTCGTGCCAGCTGCAGCAGCGGCCAGTGCTTGCCGCTCTACAAATGGCGGTCAGGGAGGCGCTCGCGGCTGGCGGCGAGCTGCTGCCCGCCGCCCTGCTGCCAGCACAGCGCGGCGCGAGTTCTCCTGGCGGATGCGGCAGCAGCGGCAGCGGCAGCGGCAGCGGCAGCAGCTGCAGCGGCGGTGTCGGCAGCGGGGTTGAGGCGGCTCTAAGGGCCGCCGAGCTCAACATCGCCCTCAGGGCGCGGGCGGTCTCCTTGGAGGGCGCCCTGCTGGAGGCGGCTGGCGAGCGCGCCGGGGACGCGACGTCGCTGCAATATGAGCGGAGGAGGGCGGAGGCGCTGGAGGCGCGCGCGGCGCGGCTGGAGGTGCAGCTCGGGGCGCTGCTGGCAGAGCGAGGCGCGCAGGGGCGGCCGGCGGGGTGGAGTGGCGATGAGTGTCGCGGCAGCAGCCCACGCGCCGCGTCGGGCGGCGCCGGCGACGGCTCGTCTCATCGGTGCAGAAGCGGTGACGCGGACGCGCTCGACGAGCGGGACGGCGGCGTATTGCGGGGGCTTGGGGCGGCCAAGCTGCGGGACGCTGATGGGGAGGCTGCGCGGGCGGCGGCGGTTGCTCTCGAGGCACGGGTTGAGTTGGTGAGCTGCCCACCAGCTGCGTAGGCATTGAGCTTATTTGAGGGTGAGGGGGGCAGGTGCGCCGGAGGCTTCACCGAAAGGGGGGGTCTCAACGTTCCCTCGCCCTGTGCAGCATGTCTTACATCCTCGCTGCCCTGTGTTTTGACACGCTCATGCACTCAACCGTGGCCAAGCATGATACACATACATAACTCCACACCATGCGTTGGAACCCACCAGGCGGAGCGCGAGCGCCACATCAGCGAGCTCGAGGGCAGCTTCCGTTCGTTGGGGGAGAAGCTGCTGCACGAGCGCGCCCGCTGCGGCCGCCGCGACGCGCGGCTCGACGTGCTGCGCCTACGGCTCGCGGCCGCTCACACTGCACTCTTGGATGCAGGTGTCCCGCTGCCGCTGCCGCTGCCTTTGCCACTGTCGCTGTTGCCATCGTCGCGGACGGCCCCTGCACAGGCGCTGGGTCCCGCAGCAGAGGGGGAGGATATAGCGGGCGCCCCTGCGGGTGATGGTGGTGGTTCAAAGGACGGCGGCCAAGGCGAGCCGCTCCTGCAAGAGTCAGACGCCGCGGACAGCGACGACAATCTCCATGTTGCGGCGCCGGCTGCTACCGCTGCTGCTGCTGCTGCTGCTGCTGGTGGTGGTGGTGGTGGTGGTGGTGGTGGTGCTACTGCTGGTGCTGCGCCCGCCCTCGGCTCGTCTATGCCGATTGGTGGGACCGGGCACGGAGGCCGGCCGGCGACGTGCCAGGGGCCATCAGCGGCACAGAAGGACTGCCGTGTGTGGTGGCGGTTGGAGCAATTGCGGCGGCAGGTGCGTGGTCGGGGTTGTTGCACTGGGCTCTGATGTGAGATGTGGATGTCTCATGAGCGAGATTGGTGGACATTGCCTTTTTGTGCGTCGATCTCGTCTTCGCCTCCCGTGCGGGCTGTGTCTGAAGCTGTCGCATGGACCACGCAAGACTCCGGTCTCAAAGTCCCCCCTGCACTCGCCGCAGCTCGAGGCCTCAGAGCAGCGCTGCGCCAAGCTTGAAAAGCGCCTCGCCCGGCAGGCCGCCACCCACGATGTGGCCTGCGACGCGCTGCGCGCCGCTTCACAGTCCTGGGGGGAGGGGCTTGCGGGTGACCTGCAGGGTGCAGCCGCGGCGATGACATCAGCGGCGGCACGGCTAGCTGCAGCGGAGGAGGAGGGGAAGGAGCTGCGGCGCAGGCTGGAGGATGCAGAGGCGAGGGCTGAGGCGCTGCGTGCGAGGGCGGAGGGGGCGGCGGGCGAGCGGGACACGGCGCGGCGCGAGGCGGATTACCTGCGGCGGAGAGTGGTGTCGCTGCAAAAGGACGGGCGGAGCGGTCTGGGCGGCGAATGCTAGTCGCAACTGGCACTACTCAGTGCATAGGGCGCTGTCTGGCGTGGCAGGAGATGGTTGTGTCCAGCGTCTGGTAGTGTCACCAGTGACCGTCACCGAGTCACCTGCGGGCCCCGGGTCGCCCGGCAAACAATTTCTTCAGTGATGCTTATCCAACTGCATAGCAAGCTGCAAAATCTGTTGATTGGTTGCGATCCTGCTGCCTTCTGCACAGTCTTGGCTCGGCAGCTTACGACAGCAGGCAGCGAGCTCCGTCGGTGCGGGCTGTGTCACATGAAGAAGTAGAGCTTACTGGCATACGAATGATGGCAGACCCGGCCAGCCTGCCAGATCTTTTGGAGGGGCTAGAGGAGGCTGTGCGCAGCGCCGAGAGAACGGCGGAGCGCTGTATACCCAAGCCTGATGACTTATATGTGAGTCGTGAAGTGTTTGATTGCAATATGTATAACTTCTCAGCTAGCCGCCGCTCACCCGCTCGCTGCTCTGCTGCCGTGCTGCTGCCGCTGCCAAGTTGCTGATGCCACCCACGGCCTCTGAGCCGCCCTGGCGTCCAACCCGCCGCTACCTCTACATGCCGCCGCATTCTTTCACATGCCACAGTACTACCAGGGCTTTCCCGAGTTCAAGCGCCGCCGCGCAGACCTGGCAAGCCGCGCGCTCTCCCTGCTCCGCGCCTGCCAGCCGCTCGTGCGCCGCGCCCCTGCCGCCGCAGCCGCCGGCCCGGGACCCGTACCGACCGAGGCCGGCGTCGGCGGCGGCCGGGACGCGGAGGATGGCGGCCCTGAGAAAGGGGAGGACGAGGAGGAGGAGGACGAGCGCGCGGCGGCGCTGGCTGTCGAAATCGCGGACGACTGCCTCGAGCGCGCCGACCGATCGCTGGACGCCGCAGCCGACCTCAGATCAGAGGCGTCCGCGCTGCCCCCCATCCGCGGCCTCGGCCCTCTCGGCGCCGCCGGCGCCTCCGGCGTGGCCGTCGCCGGCGGCAGCGGCGGCCTGCAGCGCTACACCGCCGCGCTGCCGCGGCCGCAGGACGCGTTTACGCAGCCGGTAGACAACAGCAACCGCCCCTTCGTCCCCCGCCCCGCCGCCCCTGGCCGCGCGGCGGCGGTGGCGGCTGCCGCTGCCCGCGGCGCCGGCGGAGGCGACGAGCCTGCCGTGCACCCCTTTGCTGCTGAGCTGGAGTCGCTCACCTACGAGCCCTGGCAGCTGGAGGCTCCAGAGCCAGAGGCGCCGGCCGGGCTGGACGCGGCGCCGTGCGCGTGGGTGGACACGCCGGCGGCGCTGGCGGAGATGGTGGAGGGGCTGAGGGGGGCGCGGCAGGTGGCCCTGGACCTGGAGCACCACTCCTACAGGTGGGCGCCTTTCGGTGTGTCCGTTTGGAGCGGTGGTTTTGGCGGGCGTTTCTTCGCATGTGCGTAGTTCCTTGTGGCTGGTAGTGTTCGCGATGGGTGCGCCTGGCAACGACTATAATCCCAAGCTGACGCGTTGCCGTCGTGGCGTCTCAGAAGCCGCGTGCGATGCCCGCGCGCCCCACGCGATGCGCCAAGCCTCCGCCTCGCCACGCTCCCAACTGTCCCCCCGACTTCCGAACTCCCCTCCAACATCGCGAAGGTCGTTCCAGGGGTTCACTTGCCTGCTGCAGGTCTCCACGCGCAGCCAGGACTGGGTGGTCGACGCGCTGGCCCTGCGCGCGCAGCTGGGTCCCGCGCTGGCGGGCGTGCTGTCCGACCCGGCGGTGGTGAAGGTGCTGCATGGCGCCGACAGGGACGTGCTGTGGCTGCAGGTGGGGCTGCGCTGGGTGTGGCGGGCTCTCAGGAGACGGGGGTGTTGGCAGAAGGCAGCGACGCGAGGCTTTGCGGATGGGCGAGTCACCGGGCGGTGTTTGAAATGGATTCACAAGCAGCGGTTCGGCGCGGTTTTCCGTGCGCAGGTGTGCGTTTGGTCAATGCGCTGCGTGTGAGTTGATTGACCTGGCCCCGCGCCAATGCGTTGTCCGCCCGCCGCTGGTCGCTGCTCCGCACCGGCGGCGCGGCGCCACGTGCGGCCCTTGCACGCCCGTCCCCTCCCCTAGCACCGAACCACCCCCTATCGTCCACACCGACACCCCAATCACAGCGCGACTTTGGGCTATACATCGTCAACATGTTTGACACTGGCCAGGCCGCCCGCGTTCTGGGCAACCCCTCCGCCAGCCTCGCCGCCCTGCTGGCGCGCACCGCCGGTTTCTCCGCCGACAAGCGCTTCCAGCTCGCCGACTGGCGCGCGCGGCCACTGAGCGCCGCGATGCTGGCCTATGCTCGCGCGGACACCCACTTCCTGCTGCACGCGCACGACGTGCTCAAGCGTGAGCTCGCCGCCGCAGACGCGGCCGGCGCGCGCGTGCCGGCCACGTACGCGGTCCCGCTGCCGCCGCACGTCTTGCAGCCTGCCCAGCCGCGGGGCGGCGGCGGCGACGGGGAGGCGGCGGCGGCGGCGGTCGGGCCAATGATGGCGACAGTGCTGGAGCGCAGCCGCCAGATCACTCTGAAGCTGTACGAGAAGGAGCTGCTGACGTCATCAAGCGCGTCGGAGGCCGCCGCCCGCTGGGGTGTCCACGGCCTGTCCGCGCCGCAGCAGGCGGCGTTCGCGTCCCTGTACGCGTGGCGCGACGCGCTGGCGCGCGCGCTGGACGAGAGCACTGGGTATATATTGCCCAGGGGACAGCTGTCTGAGCTGGCACGCGCGCTCCCGCGGTCGGCGGCGGAGGTTCGGCGAGCGCTGGGCCACCACGGCGCGCCGCCGGCGGTCGCGCGGGCGGCGGAGCTGGCCGGCGTGATCGCGCGGGCACGCCAGCAGCAGCAGCAGCAGCGGGGGGCGGGGCAAGAGGCGGAGGCGCCGCCGCAGCAGCCGGCAGACGCGCTGGCCGTCACCAGTGGTGCTGCAGTGGCTGCTGGCGTGACGGCTGGCGAGCCTACGATCCCCCCGGCTGCAGCGACCCAAACCCTAGTGGCAAAGGCAGTAGCTCCGTTGGCGCTGCGGCGGCCGGGCGGCGGCATGCGGCTCGGCTCGTCGGCCACCACACAGCCTGTTGGTGCCACAGGGGGTGCGACAGCAGCATCACCGGCAGCTGGGCAGGAGGTTGCGCAGGCGGCGCTGCAGCAGCGGCCTGCTCTGGGCATGGCCAGGGGCAGGCCGTCAGGGATGGCTGCCCTTATGGGGAACCGCCGCCAGCCTGTGCAGCTGCAGGCGCTGCTGCGTCCCTCAGCTGTTGCTGGGCAGCAGCAGCAGCAGCAGCAGCAGCAGCAGCAGCAGCAGCAGCAGCAGCAGCAGCAATCGGGGCAGCAGCAAGAGGACAAGGCTGCCTCCCTGAGAGCCTCGTTTGTGCTCCCTTTCATGGCGCCTGCCGCGGCGCTGCCCGCAGCATCTGAGGCGCGAGAGCAGCCTGCCGTGCCCCAGGGCGAAGGCGAGAGCGGCGGCGGCAACAAGAGGGAGGAGGATGGGGGCGGCGATGCGCCCATGCAGCAGGCGACCGCTGCGGATGTGCGTGCAGTGGTGGACGCACTGCGGGCCTCGGGGGCGGCGGAAGAGGAGGGGCCAGGTGCCGCTGGGGGCAAGCAGCAGCAGCAGCGGGTCAGCAGCAGCGGTGACGAGGCCTTGTCGGCTGATGATGCAGAGGAGGAGGACGGGTTTATCCCCGTGCCGCTGTCCGAGGCTCTCAAGAGTCAAGGCCAAAAACGCAAGCAGCCCGGTGCTGGCGCCGATGGCGGCCGCGGCTGGCCTGTCGGCAAGCGACCGGCCGGTGGCCAAGGGCGCGGACGGGGCCGCGGGCAGCAGCAGCAGCAGCAGCAGCAGCAGCAAGAGGAGCAGCAGCAACAGCAGCGGCGGGAGCGCAAGCTGTTTCAGGATGTTGGGCTGGAGGACGGCAGCAGCAGCGGAGGGGAGGACAGTGATCAGGAGGAGATTGCTGGCGCTGCAGCAGCCATCGCCGTGGCGCAGGGCGGCCTCCGCCAGTATGCAGCACAGCCCGCCGCCGGCGAGGTGGGGCAGGAGCAGGATGGGGCCGGCGGGCGCAGGGGGCGCGGCGGCGGCGGCGGCCGCGACGGCAGCCGCGGGCGGGGCGGCCGCGGGCCTCGCG